CACACATCGCCATGAATGGCTCACAAAGTTCACTGGAGCAACGTTTTTGCCTTCATTTTTGGTTTGTCTGAAATGCTGTTTTTTGTTCTTGTTGTTTGGAAAACGAGACCCGAACAATGATATTGCAATTGCATTCGCATGCTTTTTCTTTTACAAATCTCTTATAAATGTGTCGTTTAGAATGACCAATTTTGCCTCAATCCCTTGCACCATATGTACATGAAAAGGCTTTTTGCCAAGTAATGTGTCGTGAGATAGGATATTATTTGTTTTTACTCTAACAGCAAGACAAACAGAATATGAATATTCCGACAAATTGCTCAGCGCTTTCGTACGTACATATGTGTATACATTGGGTATGTCATTGTAAATTTATATGTGTGAAAACAAAACGGTCTGCCCAGAAGCTATCCTGAAGCTTCTGTATCCACATTGTTGTCTAATTTCATTCTCATTGAAAAGCAAGATCTCTTACTCGAGAATAATTTTACTTAGAGCCGCACATCAGACTTACAGCAATGTCGGCCAAGTGCAATTCAATTCTGCTACCAAATTTTTTCCGGGCTCTCCTTTTTACAAAACGAAAACCATTTCTTCAAACTTTTCAAAAAAAAAAAAAAACATAAACACATACACAGATATGAGTCGTCTATTTCGAAAGTGATTTGAGTCCATTTCATATTTTTGTAGACATCTCGGATCACTAGTAGATTTTACAAAACATATCACGTTATATTTTCAAATCAAACACAAACCCTTAAATATCTCAATATAAGAACAGCTTGGCTTAAACCACTTTCAAAACAAACGACTCAAATAATATCACAGACATACAATTTACAACAGATTTTATTTATGTTCGAATTCCTTAGCTTTTGAATACATTTTTAAAATTAAATAAAGTAATGTTTGGTGATCCTGACAGGATGTTAATAACTCTCAAAATTGTATCAACGTGAACATATTGCAAATCTATGCCTTTCGAGTTTAGTACGCAGATTTAGCAACCATTCTGTGATTATTGCTGACATCTTTCAACCTACGTAATGTAGGGTTGATTTTTTCATATAAACATGGAACTGGATTAAATATTGAGAGTAGTTCCTGGTTTCAAATAACGCAAACTTGATCATGATTTCGATACGCATCTAGTATGTTACGTAACATTTTTAAAACGGACCAAATTGCTTAGAATGACTGGATACTGCCGACGAACACCTGTGTATATGTATTATTGAAAAGTATAATCCCAAGCCATCCATTAATATTCGAAAAGGACAGAGTTTTCTTAAAGTAAATTCGATTTAAAAAAAAAAAAAAACCATATTAAGGGAACCCCCCCCATTCTCGATTTTTTATTTTTAAGATTTTAAATGGGCTGGTAAATGAATACCAATGCTTGTTAAGGTTTGTAACTTGGCATATTTTTTGTTGTTGTTTTTTGTCTCAGCTAAATTTCGATTTAAAAATAAGCAATATCCCCACTCAGGAATATCTTCGTTTCCTTGGCTCCGATGATATCGTGGCGGGCTTCGCTTGCTGTCTTTGTCACATATTAAGGGGTGTTATGTATAGCTTTTCCGTATATTTACTCAGCAATTCATGCCGGCGAGTGCAATGTCTCTGCCGCAGATAGGAAGAGAATGAAGTCTAAACGAAACAATGATGACGTATGCATGCGTCCATTCTGGGGTACATACACGTTTTCGTATAACAGTTTTCCACCACCATGGAATTCGCCGATGCCTTTCATTCCACGCTGCGCCGCAGCGCTCCTGTCGGTGTGTATGTCATCATCGGCGTTGTCATGCCGCACTAAGCCATGCTGTGGTTATTTATATTTTGTAATGTAAGTCAGTCGGTGGATGGGAATGAATGAATGGCCGTATCTATGTGCCAGCGAGTGATTCGATGTAGGCACGATTTTGATACCGGTATGCAGTGGCATTAAAAATGTGGCATGTATCGATGTAACAGTGCTTTGAATCACTGTTTCTTTCGTCAAAAACTTCGCAAAAGTAGCAGCATTTTCCATAAAAGCGTGTTGAATCGCCTGGGCCCACGAATGCATTTATTGGGCATACTTCACATGACCATAGGTTTCAGTTTTCCAGGTCTCAGAATAAAAATAAGTAGTGGGAAACGTACAATTGAACATTTAAATGGTTTTCAAATTCGGGACATCTACTCGATACTGTGCCGATACACTGTGGCGACATGCGTTTGTATTTTCATTCAGCAGTGAAAGCAGCAACAAAACAACAACACGACTAGGAAATAATGGCATCGGCACAAAATATTGTTAAGCTCAATGGGTCATAGAACTTTTTCCATTCCCATTTCACCAATAACAAAACAAAAAAGAAAAAACCTATACACACACACACATATTGAAATATATATATAAGAGAAACAGAACAGGCCTCCTGTAACTAGTGGAGGGTGTTGAGAGCATTGAATGTATAGTGGGCAGGGCAGGGCGGTGCACGAACTTCACTGGGGGAGGCAAATCTACCAACCTCCTCTGCATTCGGTGTCCATAACAAAGAAATAAAAATTTTATGATTTTCACTGCATGCGCTGTAGGGAGAGGGAACATCGTGGAAAATACAGACGTTGAGAGCAAACAAATGTCCGTAAGGGAAATCTGCTAGATATGATAACATTTAAGCAGACAGTTATTAGTTGGTTCCAAAGTAGTTTCAGTCCATTGTAAAGATCTATATATGACTGACCCTTTTGTTTTCTACTTCCTCTCTTTTTTTTGGCAAAATTTCTATAGTGGACAATATCATATTTTTGGCGTTCAATTTCTGGTGTATTTTTTCTTCTGCAAAACAAAACAAAAAAAAATTAAACAAATCTTTTTTTACATTTTGAACTCACAATGGGCTCTTTGATGAACGTTACTGGTTGTACTGTGTCAACGACTAACAACAATGCGAAGAATTGTTGGCACTTGATGCCATTGTGCCGGATCTGAGACTTGTAGAAAAACAACAACTACAAGAAAGTATCACCACCATTATCACCAATAACATTGCGAGTCGAAGAAAGGGTGTTAAAGCGTTTCGCGAAGAAGAAAGCAACGTCATCGTCTTTTTGTTTTGTTTATTCGGTTCATGAGTAAGAAAGTATAAGAGAACGAGAGTGAACACACAAGAAAGCGTAAAGAAAAGAAAACAAACAAACCCAAAAACACACACATTTTTATTTCATTTCGTTACGAATTCCACCAAATGTCTTCCGGAATAAATTGTCGTGAAATTTTCGTGTTTTTGGATATTTTGATTTGGAATCAAACAAAGCGGAGAAATCGACTAAACAATAATGATAACAACAACAATACAAACAGCAGTAACATTTGTAGCAGCGGAGACACAACAACAGCCAACCTACAACCCAACAAACCAAACCATTTGAATACAACAACCAAACGCATTGGCACGACAACAACTACAACAACAGCCGCCGCAGTGAAAGTGATAAAGTGCAAAAACTCAACACACAACCATAACAATAAAACTATTACAGCATTAAATGCGAACAACTGTAACAGCAACAAAAACAACCATCCTCACAGCGTAATAGCCAACAACAATAGCGATCAGAGCAATAACAAAACAAAACAGCAGCAACAACCACATTTCAATGATTTAATGAAAAATCAAATTGAAATCCTACCAAAATTTAGCTGAGACTTTCTAAAACTTCGTAACTAAAGAAAGACAAAAAAAAGTGCGACAACAAACAACACAACACAATCCAAAAAACCGATTAAAGATCATAAAAATAAGAAGAAGAAACTGAAATTTTTTTATAAATAAGTGCTTAATTAAAAAAAACTAAAATAGAAAAAATAACCGAAATTAACACACCCTTTATTTAAATCCTTTTGTACGGAGAAGTGATTTATCGTTGATTGTTTTTGTTGTTTTCATCATAAAAAATAAATAAATAAAAATTCACTAAAGGCTTTAAATTTAGAAAATGATTAAAGGATATACATCTAAGTAACAAAATAAGAAAAATATATATATATGAGAAAAATCAGAACAAGTGTCTTAAATACAAAAAAATAATAATATTAATAAAATTAATTACAATATAACAACTAATTATTAATTAGATTATTTATATAAACAAAAAGGAGACAATTAGCGTTTTTTAATACAAATTATACATAAATCGAAAACAAAATTTAAACCAAAATTGTACCTATCACTAAAAACAAAAATAGCTAAATTTTATATACAACAACAATATACATAAAACAAATATATATTATATACATATAAATAAATAAATAGTGGACTGTGATATAAATATTTCACGTCAGATCTAACAGTGTAACCAGCCAGTTTGAAACGCCACAAACTAATTGCAAACGCTGACTGAATTGGCACTATTCGCAACAGAAGGCAACAACAAAACGTTCACACACCCCCTCAAACACATACACAACCTGAGCCAGCTGCCCCCTCCCCCTTTTGATGATCTTCATTCAACCAATCAAGTAACACAAGTGCAATGTTATAAGGCCTCCGAATGGCCCAAAAACCACTCTAGAAAATTTCAAATTCAACCAACAAACATCAAATGTTTCATTTAGACCAACAACAAAAACATATATTATAATAAGATACCAATAACAACAACAGTTAAACAGCATTTATTTATAAAAAGAAATAAATTAAAAAAAAAAAAAATAAAAATAATAATACAAAATAACATAACGCGAGAATATATACGACAAATTAAATTTGTTTTGTTTTTTCGTTAATAAATAAGAAAATAATAATTACAATGCCTTAATAAAATTTTAAATTAAAATTAAAACAAAAACAGCAACAACAACAACAACTATAACTGTAACAGAAACAGCAAAACTATACGCCACATTAAAGCATTCTAACCAAACCAAATCCAGTTTTAACGTTTTTCGGTAAAACATCAACAATCAAAACCAACAAACACCACAATAACAACAAGTGACAAATAAAATCATTTTCGGCCTCTTTTCGTTTTTCGTTCAACGCCGCGCAACAACACAAACCAAAACTATAATGTATACGCAACGTATGTTTGATATGTGGAACAGTGTCACATCCAAACTGGAAGCACACGCAAACACCTTGGGACAGAGCAATGTACAATCACCAGGACAAAATAACTCAAGCGGATCGATAAAAGGTAAACGTCTAGCTGATTGACAGCCTGGTAGGTTGCCAGGTGCAGAATATGGGTAGATAGATGTTGACGACAACTCGCCCAATCGCAACTTATCCAGAATAATGCTATCCTTACTATTATCCATATATATATATATATATATAATATGAATGCGGGTTTTCATATAACATTTCATTATGATTAATCAGGCTACATTTACCATGATTAATCACACAAATTTAATACAATTCGGTTTCCTACGAAAAAATACATCTCAATCGCAATGAACCAAAATTTCCAACTGTTTTCACAAGTTGTTTGTGGTTTCCGATAAAAATTCTAAAAAATTGTTCATTCTTGCAGGTTCTGGAACGGACCAATTAATAGAATTATTTTGCTTAGCATGTATTTTCTACTATTTCTGGCACGAATTAAAAATGTTGTATGTATACAAACAAACGTCAGCTGATTGAGGGTCGTACCTAAATTCACGCGTATGCGTACGATTTTATTCACCTTCAATGAGTGTTACCCAAATGTTACCAAAATATAAAGTTCAAAATTTTCAACATTGACAATGCGTTTTTGCATTTCTTATTTTTTGAAAATAGAATTTCAGGAATTGAAAAATTTGTGTTTCTATAAATGTAAACATTTTTGATTATTTAAAAAAAAATCATAATTTTTCGCTGATTTCAATTGAAACACATGTAAATAAAGTCCTTGCGTATATGGGTAATACAGACGTTCAGCAAACATTATAATAGTGAAAAGGTGGGTATTTTAGTGCGCAACGCATTGGATTAGGTTCGAGCCTGATATTTAAATCATAATTATAGGTATGTGTAAACATATGGATTTCGTTAGTCGTAAGTCGATTTCAAATTGTATATGTAAATGGATAAGAAAGTACAGAAATCAGACTGGGTAGCTCTGAGTAGCTAAAAGTAATGAAAAAATTAAATACAAATTAAATTGAAATCATTCAGTGCCATTCATAGGTCATTCGCCATTGCAAATCCCAATTTACAAATAACAGCCTCCTACAGTGGAACGGTAGCAGATAATCAACAACGACATGTCAGTTGATTTTTTTGCCAATTTAAGTCGATTGCTAGTGGTCGCAACTTACAATCTCCACCCTCGTTCATTTCTTTTGCTGGCTTATAAGTATGTATCAATGTGCGCAGTTGACCAAACGTACCTCCCTCTCTACAGTTTTGTACATCAATTCGCTACACGTAACATGGGCTTAAAAATACAACAACTGCAAGCAGTTTACCATAAAGTCACACACGCACACATACAGCCGCCTCGCAAACTAGTGAAAGTCGCAATTTCTCCAAATACCGGTAGCCCTCGTAAACGAAGTTCAATGGAAACTTCCAAAAGAAAAAAAAAACAATAGCAACAAAGCAAAGTACAGTGTTTTGATTATTTCTTTTATGCTTTTATTTTAACCGAAATTGCTGTTTCCATGCCGATACATGGCAAACATTAAATCAATTGTTGGATTAATAATATTAATCAGTTTTTATCCGAACATAATCAGTCGAGTATTCATGGACAATGTCCTATGCTATATCCTGCTTCTTTCAAACAAGTTTGTGCTAAGTACATGTCCTATTTCAATGTTCCATTTCAGTTTTTCCATAAAATTAGCATTTCAAATATCTGAATAATATTTCTTATTTTGGAATTTCGAATTTAAGTTTTTGTAACCAAAATATACATTTTTGTTAATAATTCAATTAATCACGACTTTGGTAGGGAAGTCTGTATTGAGGGAGTAACACGTGTTTCATAGTGAATCTTAATTATATATTATTACATCTCGTGTTCGTCATGTTATAACTTCATCCAATTATATAATTATTTCTTGTCCTCCCGAAAATACATATGGTAATGCACCATTATAAATCGGTCACGGGATAGGCGTTACTTCCAAAATATTTCGGTAGATGTGAAATACGTGTTTATGGTCGCCTCTCAGTTCCACAGTGTCCGATTAAAGGAATTCGATAATTCTTGGCCAAACTCCGAGGTCTTCTAAAGAAATCCAAACAGATCAATTGAAAGTGCACCAATGAATTTGAATTCTGTTCCGATTTTTGGGAATGCTGAAGAAAAGGTACGATTTAGGCTCATCTTGCAGAACGATTCCCTACTGCCTGCCACGTCTTTCTATTCCATTCACAGTTTACAGTTATTCTCGCTTCACGCATTTAATCAGTCATGCGGGCTGAGCTAAATATGCTAAGCTGTCGGCTGGCTGTTGATGATGACGACTACGACGACGCAGTCAACAGCGTCCATTATTATGACATCTGTAGCTGCTGATGTGAACAGAAAATTACGTTTTTGGTTTTCAACAACAAGAAATCGGGAACTAAAAACACAATACAAGAAAGATATTAGAGAAAGAGAGAAATGTAGACAACAAACTCAAAATACAATAACAAAACATACACACACACACGCACATACACAAAGGCGTTAGTTATGTGCTTTGAAGAAAGCAAAGCCATATGATTGTGAATGTTGGACATAGGTCTGGCAAAGGTTGTCATATATTGGCATATCTCCATGCAAAAACCTTCTGGTTATAACTGACTATCAAAAAGCGTACAACGAAGAGGATGCGTATAATGAGCACGAAGAAAGTGAAAGAAATACTCTCACACCAACATTTTTGGAGGTGACGAATTTGTTGCTGAGATACGACTTTGTTGGCTCACCCAGCTACGCACCCGCACACAGGCGAACAAAAGTCACACAGGCACCGTGAGAGTTCTGTAGCGCGTAAATAGCAAACTCAAGATGGGGGCTTTCAAATAGTGACGGCAACAGCACTGGCAGCCAGCGATAAAAGCACTTCGTATTACATCAACATAAAATATACCAACAACAAAAACGACCACAATTGAAACGCGATGGCAACGAAAATAAAAGCGTACACCAACAAAGTTTCACTATCAAACGCCATTAGTTGGTTTGATTGCTTAACCGCCCTTCCCCACGCCACCCCGGGGAACATATCTCCCCGACATGTATACGATTGTGTGCGTGTGTGTGCGTGCTACTATGCGTTGTCAGAGAAAGAGAGAAACAACATTAACATCTGTATGTGGGGACTTGGTAAAGGGGAGGCGGGGGACAGGAATATGCATACATATTTATATCTGGATGCGAATGTTTATGGCGACAACGCTTGGAGAATCGTTTCCAAAATAATAATGAAATGAATAAACAACAAAAACGAAAAACAAATAACGAAAAGAAAGAGGCACTCGCGATGAAAGAAAGAAAGTCAGCGGGGAGAGGCCAACAGAATTTAAACGACAACACTAGTTACGACATGTATAAACAGACCGAACGAACGAACGACCGAACGTTGTGAGCGGCCGGGTAAGGGAAAGGCAACGAATGAAAGCCATACACTCACGCACGCACATCATTACGTTGCTATGAGTACATTTACGAAAGCACGCACGCATTTGCCCAACAACAAAACACTTGCTAGCTAGCCAACTCACAGACTCGACGCTCCTCTATCGACTATACTCAGCTACGTTTCTCATACAGCCGAGTGACCGGCCGAACAAAGCAGCGACACATAGTAAAATTCTAAAATCAACAAAAAATTACTTTTCGGGGGTCATTCAACCCAAGAAAAAGAACAAAACTCAAACACACACACACACACACACACACAAATGCTCGTCCAAACGAAGAGAAAACGATACTCAAACAAATGCAATCGCATCGGAAAACAATTACAGACGTTCCTACATGGATAGATGTTCCTCATTAAATTCGAAAACCCAAACATGGGAGATTTGAGGGCGACCATTTGTGATGAGGGATGGGAAAGATCGATTGATTGAAAAGACGATGCCCACTCCTCTCGCACATGATAATGTTCTCGGAAAGAATTGTACCATGGCTACAATACTACTCGTAGACGATCTTTGTCGTTACTACTAGCGATCAGATTTATTTTTCGATTGGTTGCATAAATACAAATGTTTATCGATGTCAATACTAAACTTCACTTTATTATTTTATTTTGAAAGAGATTTGAACCTCTTATTATTCCGCACGTTCCCGTAAATAATTAAATACATTATTTTATGTATTACTTCACCTTCTTGTTTCGGCTTCTTTAACCCGCTACTATATTTGAAAACAATACTCGGTTTAAATTTTTGTCGGAGATGCCCGAAGAAGTGGACCGATATTGGCCATTTTAGGTCTTGAACTGAGTTTGGTAAAAATATTGCGATGTGAATTTAAGAATCAACCCGAATACACCACTAGCTTCATATGAAAGTTCAATATTTTTAAACGCTACCCGATGAAGGTTTGGTAAATATATTAGTGCTAATTTTGATCAAAACGGACATCCCTTTCGCTAGATATCGGATTTGCAAATTTTCAAAATATTGACACTTTGTGGGAGAGGTACCAAAAGAAATAGACCGATGCATCCTGTCTTTGGACTTTGTAAAAGTATAACGATGTACAAAGTTTACAACTCAATTCGATTGATAATGGATCTGCAAATGTTCCGAATGTTGACCCCCTTGTGGAGGAGTTATCCGAAGGATTTAACATATATTTCCCACCTTGAAACTTAATTTAAGTTTGGAAGATATATTACAATGTGCAGAGTTTGAATGAAATTGAAATAATTATCGTTCGCACCAGTCAGACATACGGATGGACATGTGTAAATCGATACCAATTTGTCTGAATCGTATTTGATCCTAAAAAGAAGGGAAATATAAAGTGGGCTAGAATTCGAAAGAACGAAAGATAGAACACAAGACTGGCATATATAAGTTAGGATTTTTGAAGCATCCGGTGAATGTTATTGAATCGCTGTGGAGAATTAGCAAATTTTAGTTGTGGTGCGGTTCCCCAAAAACGAAAAAAAACATTAAGCATATCCATCACTGGATGATGAACTTGTGGAATATTTACTGGAAATGAAGTCTATATAGTAGTTTTATAAAAAT